TTTAAAATATAAAAAGTAGTGTATAATACAAATGGAAATTCTCTAAATGGGTTGCTCTAACAAATCTCAGTCATATCATTATCATAACGTATTCTTATTATTTTATTTTTGTAGCCCATATTCATTGAACAAGAGACTTTCAAGAAGTTTTAGTCTAATCAACCTCGTAATATTTGTTAATTTATTATTTTTTAGATAAATAAAAACTAATGGCTTTAATATCTTAACATATAATTGGTCATGCCCGCACTTGAATTATTGAATTAATTCAAGTCCTGAATTTGCATTTCTTTTCAAATATATGAAACTTAAAACAAAATTTTCAAAGCTTTCTTCTAGATTATGAATTCTCTAAAGGTCTTGATTTCTAGACAATCAAAGTTAATGGCAAATTATTTGATAGGTGTTCGAACTGGCGGGATACAATTGGATTTTAGGTTAACCAACAACTGGACACGAGCCACCTTCTGACTGGCCTGCGAGAATGCCCACTAGGTTGACATTTTTATAGTACAATACCAATTTAAACGTAAGAAGTTATCTATTTTGAAGAATTAATCTTTAAAATCATTCAAAGAGACTCTTTAAATTTGGAAATTTAAACTCGTTCTCTATAATTAAATGGATTCAAAGTGTTTCAATTTTAAATGTAGAAATAAAATAATCTAAAGAAAAGTTAATTAAAATAAAAGATATAGAAAAATAATAAGTATTTTTTCTGACTAGTCAAATTATGTATTAAATATAAAGAGTTTCTTAGAGACTTGGAGTACTTCAAAATTTTAACTTTCAAAATTTATAGATGCTCTTCAAGTAATAAATATATTCTTTAAAAATATGAAGTATCTTGGAGATGCTCTAATTGATAGTTTCATTGAAAAATAAAATAAAATAATTCATTTAATTATACATCTCATTTAATGTCACATTTAGTATCATCTAAAATCGTGTTTTAATAATAGCGATCTGATAAGAGTAATGTTATTTATCTTCATAGATAAGTCTATCTTGACATCAAACACAACTTCTTGTTTGATTTTGTTGAAAATTAAACTTTTAGTAAATTTTGATAAAATTTAATAAATCATATGGTTGAAAATTTGATAAAAATTGTATATTCATAAATTGTATAGTTAAAATTAATTGTTGATTTTAACTTAAAGTTTTACTAATTTTTTAAGCTAAACCAACAGGGCCTACGATGCAAACTTGGGGATTGTTTGGATTTCACCATATTCTCCTTGTATTTTAAAATTAGAGTGAAACATTAATTTTAACATCATATTCAAGTTATTATTAATATATTATGTAGAATTCATTACTCATCTTCATTATAATGAAACCCAAAAATAAGCACTTAATCTTTTTATTTAGAGCTTGTTTATAAACTAAAAAATTACGATATAAAGAAATGCATTACATTTTTTTATTATACTGTGGAGTTGTTTTAATTGTTACCAGAAATGAGTAGACCACCATCCCTAAAATTCTAAAAAAAATAAAAATTTATGCCCTGGGACATAACCCAGTGGTGCAAAGGACATGAGTGAGGTAGTCTTAACCTTATTGGCAGCCGCAATATGAGAGTTCGATTCCTGAGATATGGAATTGGACTTTTTGTGGGCACCAGTATACAAGTAAGCTCTTATTCCCTAACCTACTGATGCACGTCCCACGATTTACCTTCCTCACGATGCTCCAGGAATGGGACGGTGGGGCCTTCAAGATTGGGATTCAACCTAAAAAGTGAAAATTTATTCCAAAAACCAATTTGGTTATCAGTCAGAATCGAAATATTAAAACCCGTTAAACTAACTTATGAACTTTTCAACCTTAGAATTTGATAGTTCGCTATTAAAAACTGGCCATTTCTCAAGTGAAACATTTTACAATATTGATTATTTTTAATATTGCACTTCAATTATTTTTATAAGTCAAAAGGACATTCATTTGTAAGCAATATTATGCCCCGACATAATTAAAATGATAATCTTTTGGTTTGTTGTTAGTCGTGTCAACTATAAAATTTTATGCTCGTCGATGAAGATAGTACCACTTCATAATTAACTGATTATTATCATTAACAATAAGGGCAATAAGGTAAAGTATTTTCCCATTTTCCTCATTAATCAAGTCGTAGAATAACTTACTCTGATATTGGACACTATTGAATCACCATGGATAAGAAAAACTCGTCATGTCTTCAAAAATCTCTTTGAATATATTTGATGTGTTTTTAAGAAGGTTTAAAGGATGGCAGAAATGCGAGATCGATGGAGCCTAGATTTGAACGGGCAAGAATTCCTTGTCCCATAGGGGTTGTCAGTGCGGGGACTGGTATCAGTCATCCCGCTAACCCCACTCCATTTAGTATTGTTTTTAATTAAAAAAAAAATAAAGCAAAAAAAAAAATGATATAAAATATTGAACGGGAAAAATGAGTGTCCCTTCCATCCTTGCACAGTTTTTAAGCAGGGCAACGAACCAAAAGTGCCCCACGGGGCAAAGCCTGTCCCCAAACCCACAACATTGCGATCTCTAAAGTCTTCATTCAATTTTGTAACATCGTATCAAATGAATCCATTGACTAAGTTTCGAGTCATTGTGAAAATTCTTGAAGTCAAGCCGTCTAGTCCACTACCAATTCTAGTTGAAGAAAACGTGTGATTATTTCAAATTAGTCTTTGTTCTTCAGTTCCGTCAGAAACTTTAATGCCTGCATTTATTGGTAACAAAAAATGAGACTTCTCTAGTCTTAAACGATACATACAAATCTGAAGGATTTAACAAACTTCTATTCATACCATCCCGTGTTTTACTCAAGCAGGATTGAGTAAGCGAAACATTTCTTGATTTAGGTTACATTAAGGAAAAATATAAACTTAGTGTTTGTTTGAGAAAAATTACATTGAAATTATGATGAAAGAAAGTAATAGATTATAGATCCCAGGTAGCGTGTGCTTAAGTTATAGTTGTGAATTTAATATTTGACTTTGACTTCTAATTATAAATTAATTATAAGAGTAATAATATTCATCACCACTATTACTAAGCATCAGTCTATGTGACACTTATATATGAAATGATAGATTTATTTAAATGGAAAGTCACATGACTCGTTTAATTAAATATATGAAATGTAACCACCAATATTAGTGCTCTAGATCATTGGTGTTAGATAGTATTATTCAAATTATAATGAAACCCAAACAAGTATTTATTATTCTTAATTAGGATGACACTATACTTGACCTTGATCATGGGCTAGTCAAATAAAGAAAAAATTAAAATAAATTATTCTTAGTACACCATGAAAAATAAATTGTGATCTTAGAACATGTTTGGAAGAGTGTTTATAAATTATTTAAATTATAAATAAGTAATATTAAGTGACGAAAGAATGATAGTATTTATATATCCTTGAAGTGTGTTGATAACTCGAGTTTTTGTAAAAATAAGTGAAACATAAGCTAATTAGGTAGAGTAAGAGACAATTTATCTCAATCAAATTCAAACTTGAACATTCGAACAATAACTCGTATTCTATTCTGATAAATAGCTAAAAAATTTGAGTCATTTCATTTTCGAAATGTTGTATTTATTTTTTCATTGATATAATAACTTAGAAAAAGATGTGCTACAATTGAATTTAAATTCCCTCAACTTTTATGGAATAATTATGCTATACAACTTTATTTCCTTTAAAAATAATAATAATAATAATACCCACTTTATTCTGCTCACCAATTATTGGGCCAGTGGGCTTTTCATGAGCTTTAATCTTATCAATAGGCCCAATACTTTAATTCCAGATGAAGCATAGTACAACCCATTTAATTTGAAATTGGCCCAGCCCAGGTAACCCAAAAATGTAATTCAACATTTCTTACTTTGGGCTTTATAACTATTTTACAGTCTTTGCCAATACAAACTTTAACAAGAGAAGATTGATTTATCGATGAATTTGTGAAAAATAGTATTAAACCCCGAAACTGGATAATTTTTTACGCCCAAATGCTTGTTTGGTTAGGATTAAAAAACCGTTAAAACATTAATAATATAGTAGATGGGCAGTGGATATATCGTTAACATGTGCCTTAATGGTGTAAGATGTGTTAAACTCGAGCCTTTGCTTACCAAGTAGTAGCTAGTAGCTTTGTCGTTGATCTCTCTTTTCGACCGACTATGACTCGTATGTCCAGACAATGACTATCAATTCTCAATGAACCTATACATTCTTCTACCATTCGACCAAATCTTCTAGATTATATTAAAACTTGCTGGCATCGAGCAAGTAAAATATTTATAACCCTATCCTCCCAAGTAAATCCTAAGAACTTGGTTAAAATTTTTGTGGATCACCAATTTTTGTCCTGATTTAAGATAGCTAACCAATTCATTTTATTACAACTTTATTATTGGATTTACAACTGTTTCTATCAAATCTCGTCTAGCTTCATTTACTTGACAAATGAAAATGCTATTATGACATATTTGTTTATGTCGTCTCAACTTTTATATCATATTTCTGTTTACCGAGCTGAGAATATTAGATAGGATGGCTCGACTTAACCAAATAATAAACTAAGTGATTCAGTTGCCACAAAAATCGAGTCAAGTAATTTATTTGCCCTTTAAGGATCCATTTGATAAAACTTTTACTTTTACATTTGTTTATGCTTATTACATAAGAATTTCATAAAGAAACTAACTTTAGTCAGCTTCATCTAAAAGCTCTTCTAATCAAATAAAAAACTTTCAAAAAATTATTTGAACGGATCAAGAGCAGGTTTTTATCTTAGAATAAATTTTAACTTTTCAAAAATTCTGTCAAACAGACCGTGAGTGAAATTTTTTCGTCTAATTTATACCGTCATCGTAGCTTTTCAAGAACAGAGACTTACATTATCAGGCTGTCCCATAAACAACAAAATACTAAATTCAAAATGTCAAACGATTTTCTACGATTCTGACTTAAAAAGATTTTTAATATTCGTATTTAGTACAAGAGATTCATTCATCTATCACTTTGACATTTACCAAAATCTCACACCAGAAAACCAAACAAAAATTAAAATATAAAAATAAGTTAAAACTTTGTTCATTGTATTGTTAACTATAACAAATAGAGCATGCTATGACAGACGAGCTAAGTTATTCAATCTTAAGTTTCTATCTTAAAATGTCAACATTATTAGAAAAACAGTTCAGTCCTATGATGCACAACACAAATTTGACAAAACTAAATTTGAAATTTGATTATAGATTTGAGTTTTTGAGGGGTTCGAGTTTCCATTTTAAAATGTCAACTTAAGAATAGTAATCCAAATTAGTACTCTATACATACATTGATGATTGTTTTCATATTTAAGCGACGTTGAATATTTTACCCTTAATATTCGTGCATGAATACATTTGCATGTATATATTAATATATTTCTTTTGTGCATGTGGGTGTGATTTTTAATTTCCAATTCAATGCCACACAAGAAATATAGGCAGCTCCTAGAATCTCTAATTGACTTTTGCATACAATTACACCAAACGACACATATTCCTACCAACAAGAAGCTTACAAAGAGAAGGGTTTTTCAAACTTTAGCCTAATTTTATTTTATTGACAGTACAACCCAAGAACATATTTAATCTAAAGGAAATCATATGGATTAACAAATTTTACCATTAATTCATTTCATAACTTCAGAAAATTATATGAACAACAATGCCAGATTTTTAAACATAAAAAATTGGTGTTGTTAGGATATTTATTTGGATCATAAGTGATTTCCGATGTGATGTTCACCGTCTTGACCACGATATGTTAGTTTCATGCCACGGTCTTGCACAAACCAAAGCGTTGATCACGTAGCATTAAATGTGACACATAATGTAGCACGATATTTGATATCCCACTTAGCAAGTACTCTATTTCATTGCATAATAGGGTGGGGTTGGGGTGGGCAAAATAAATGTATAGCGCATGCTTAAAACTTTTTGGCATCGAGATTATAACCAATGAGTCTTGGTTAGTACAATATTATGCATTTTGATCAAAATCGTTGGGAGACCGACATGTGTCCTCGCATGAGCTGTGGAGATATGATGGAAATAAGGCCACCTAGAGGAGGCCTCATGTTCGACCTATAAACCATCTCATCATAGGTTTGGCGATAAAATTTCAGAAATGGGATAAATGATTCTCGAGATTTTGCAGTTCGAGTTAATTGGAAGTCTTTTTTGAAGAACAACGCAGGCGAACGGAGGAATGAAGGCTTTGGAGTCCTTGGATGCTTGATCGTTGACATACCCAGTGTTTGGGTTTTCCGTGGCATTGGTGTTGATGGGAAGAAGCCTTTCTTTACGGTTCCGATGTTGTCATATGGCCCTCTAGTAGTTGGCGATGTAAATGAGTAGGATCGAACATTAAGGGGCGAGATGGTGGGACCAAAGGAAGACAAAGATGCAGTCGTGGGTCCCACCTTAGATGTCGATGTATCCTTCAACGTCAGATACCAAGGCTTGAGTGAATCAAAATGGTGCGCGATTGTGAATGAAAATCTTGACGATGTGCAGAAGCCTACTTTATTGGTTGATGGCACAAATGAAGGATCCAAACGGAGTGATGCTGCTCGTGGATATGATATAAAATCATTAAATTCCAAAGACTCTTCAAAGTCCAAAGATGACACTATCATAGTGAGTGGGCATAGCTCAACAAATGGCCTAGCTCCCTACAACAATAAAAACATAAGAACCATAGAATTCACTTCATTTAATGCATATGGTACAAATAATTAGTAATACAATTACAATAAATTAACATATTAAAGCATATACTCATTTATTTGTTCGCAATTTGTAAAGGTTGTTTATAAAACCATTAGGCTTATGATCTAATCAACTTGGGGTACGAAGGTACGGTATATGTTTAAGACCTGTACATAAAAAATACTGGAGTAGTTCTCAACTTCCGTGAAATTTTCACACTATATTATATGCAACTAATATTGATACACGAATTCGTGAGAAACAAGTCAATGAAACACAACAGAAATTATTGATTACAATCTAACTTCAAGACGACATACCTTCCAAAGATAAGAGAAGAGGGAAGGAGGGTCGATAACAAAGGCCTTGTGGAGCCTGCCTGGATAATAGTCGGCTAGGATCTTCAACGTTGCCAGCAACATGTTCATAAAAGCTGCTGCTGATCGGAAATGGCCTGTATTTTCACATTGTTTCAGTGAAGCAATTTTATATGCACACGAGGTAAAATTGTCAACTCAAACCATAATAATTTGGACTCCAAGCCACTCAGGTCATGACACATCAGTCACTGAGTAAGTTCGTTCACCCTCTTTATTTCTTTCCTACCTATTCAGCATACAAGATGTCGCAATCTGAATAGTTTTAAAATCCGAGATGGCATAACTTTAGCAATAGAATGTGGCACATTTTTTCTCCCACCCCACCCACTCTCCCAAGAAAGTATTTATCAAAAAAGAGCCCTCTGAAAAGTCAAGAAAATTCAAATAAATGTTGGGTTTTCCATTTTTAAATGTTTTCTGTCATCCGAAGCAGAAAAAAGTAGAGGAAAAGTAGAATTATGGTCACTTTTGCATCAACCGTGCTATGCTGACGGCACACACATAATAAGGGGAGAGGGAATCGTTCTTGGCATTTTCTATTCACGCAGATCTCACACGCCATGTGAGTGTGGTCAGGGGCTCTATCAACCCCTTTCTGGTAACTCAGCTAAATTCCCTTTGCATATCATAATTGAGCATGACATTTCAACGGCGTTTCAAACAATTTTTGAAAAATTTTGCTTTTCGAGGTGTCAACCCCCTCACAATAGGGAGGCTTGCGATTTTTATTATTAGACGTGGACCCCTTATTGTGAGGCGGAGAGTAGCAAAACCCTTTTTGAAAAAGTTTCAGTCCCCATTCTCTGCTTACCTGTTCCGTTAATTACTTAATTAATTGATAGTCAGTTAAGTCATTAAGCGTGACATTGAAAATTAAAGAAAATTATGAATTTTAACAAAAAAACGTGTCATGAGTTATTTCATACATGGTGATTAAAGTTGTTTACAGAATCCCAAGATGGAATGTACATTAATTGCAGACAAATGATAGAGTGGAGTATGTGACATTATATGTAATTGATTATATAAAGTTTGATATACATATAGCAAAGTCCATTTAGTATAGTCTAGTTGACCCGAAAAACACGCTCTATACATTTTTGAAAAAAGTGATAAAAATGGGTAAAAGAATAGTGAAGTTATAAAGAAAATGAACTTACTGGCATCAAAGAGAAGAACAAATTGTTCAACACATTTTTCCATAGTTTGAATAGCCACTTCTAGTGTAAAAACCAGCAACCTAGTAAACCTACAAAAATTTCACCATAGAAAATAATTTTACATAGTTTTTAAGTAAAAATGTACCTCATTCAAGTAATACGTTACGTTTGTATCAGCAGAATCATTAAATTGCATAGGTTTGTTCTCCATAGCAATTCTACTAACAATATGAAATTATTAGGGTTTGGGTTCTGAGTACTTAAGGATCCTTTGGATTTAAATAACGTTCATCCCAGTTTAATTCTACTTATATAATACTTTATCCATAATTCTATCTCATGGAATTTTTGTCCTAATGAAATTCGAATACTAATCCTACTGAAACTTTTTAACTAGCTATACTTCAATTTTAATCACATATTTTTTAGGATCCACAAATTTTTATCAAAATCTGCCTTTTTTTAATCAAATACTCTTTTAATAAATAAATTTTTACGGACATATAGATTGAGAATTTAGAAAAAAAAAACAAAAAAAAAAAAAAAAGAAGAAAAAAAAAAAGAAGAAGCCATAAATGGCGAAAATAATCAGTTTTTTGCTCTATTGGGATAATCTAACAGAAGTCAGTTTTTGAGTACTTCAATACTTAAAGAAAAGCAAGATTCTGCGGGTGAAAGGAACAATAATAGAAGAAACAAGAAGACACAGACGGAGGAAAAAAAATACACGTGTGGTGAAACCTATTTTACATCGAAAACAAGTGATATTTAGATCCAAACGGTGTAAGTTATAAAGAAGTGACCAAAATAAGCTGAAAACATGCCAAAGATAAGCTGGAAAGAGAGAGTAAAATACCAGTGCCTATGGAGTCCCTCCAGGCAAGACAATTTTTCAACTGCTTAGCTGCTTTCTTCGTATTATAGCCTCTTGCTTCTAAAAATCTCTCCACGCAGGCGTCGTTACAAAATTTCTCCTGCTAAAACGAACATAAAAAATAAGCTAAAAGCATCTTGGGTATGCTACCAACCCAGAAACTAAGCCACGTGATTCAACTTACAAAATGCACATAATGCGAAATATATACATACTCTTGTTTACATGTACGTATATATTGTGCACCAAAAAATAAAAAATAATAAAAAAAATTTTTTTACCAGAGTGGAAGGTGAAATTAACCTGTTTGAGAGTGAGGGGAGCTTGTTTTCTAAGAAGGTGAAGTACAGCTTGAATTTTCTCATTTTCTTTCTGTCTCTGATCTTTCTTTCCCATTCTCAAGAACACAAAGAAAAACACCAACTCTGTGTGTGTGAATTCTCTCAATGAAAAACAAAGATACTACTCTTCTTCTTCACGCGACTATTTCAACTTCAGAAAAGTTTGTTTTTTCTTGCACCTACTACTGTGTATGTGAGTGAGAAAGAGTGAGAGATGTGAGTGATGGTAATGTGTATCGAAAACTGCCCGTATATATAGCCATGATCGAGAGTCGGGAGCCGTTATGTGGAGACGAACACAAGTCAACATTATTAAAAACTATTTATAACTATTGAAAGACTTAATAAATTTAAAATAATTCGTTAGACAGTAGAAATTATTAGATATACATTGCAAAAACCAATTATACAACGTTGGAATGATAGATACACTGAACTTGATTAGGTTAAAGTAACAAGTCTTTCTTAAACGAAGCACTGTAAACCTCGCCTTCTTAGCTATATTTGCGTAATCTATCATTGGAGATATGACACAAAATCGAGTAAAATATGTACCTTTCCTTTTAGCTTAAAATCTTCACTAATGAAGGAAGTTAGAAGGGAACGGTCCATTTGATTTATTGCTCACGTTATTGAGTTTTAGGAACACGCAAGGAAGAATTTTTTGTCATTTCACTTGTTTTCCTATTCAAGTTATGGTCTTTTTTTAGAAAGTTCGGATGATTATTGTCACCGTTTAACATAAACTGGCTCTATTGTTAAATGATTTGTTTTCTTAACTTCATATAATTCGGTCTGTCTATGCAATTAATGAAGTAGGATTATCTTTCGTGCAAAAGTACAAAAAAAAAAATTAAAATCTTTTATAGCATTATAATATATAGTTAAACTCAACAAAATTAATTACAAAAGAGTGTCAATATTTATCAATTATAATACCTAGCCCAACGTATCAAATATATCTATACTAGACCATTTATTATAACATGATAAATAAAAACAAAGATGCATGTTTGCATTATAATGTTGTTTATTTATGGGAAAATTGAAATAGATAGTGTGCATGTTAGTAGGGGACACATGCTAACGATGTTTGTAGAACATTTAAGAATGCTGCCATTAAATTGATTGTGGGCACTTAAATACGTTGTCTTTTGGGTGTTTATAAGATTACTAGCAAGGCAAGACGTACATTGCAATTATGGAGATATACATAATTTTGAAGTGTGTATGGTAAGTTAACCGTGGACTCTCTTAGGTGACTTATATTTTCAAATTTAAAGTACATTTGATAAATTTATCTTGTTGACTCAATCATACAGGGGGAAGAAGCTAGGATAAAAGAATTGTAGAGGCAATTTTCACAAAAATTCAATTGCGATGACAAAAATTGACAACTACAAAAAAAATTTTGAAAATTTGAAAAAATCTTGGACAAATTTTGAAATTTTAAATTAATTGTGGGAGCAGCTGACCACCTGCCCAAACTAAATCCGTCACTGACTATGCATTTTGTACAAATATTTAATTGAATTTGAGCTTACAATAAATTAGAAATATCATAATTGTTTTTTCAAGAAAAACGATATCATGGATATCAAAACCATAATGGAATAATCCATTTTTACCCGACGTTTTACATGCTGAATTACCCGATATGAGTGAGGGATCGGGCCTCACAAATTTATTGGTGTGGGGCCCCGACCCCCATGTGAATAGCAGGTAACCCAAAGTGTCAAACTACACTCTGGGTACCTATAGCAAAGTTCAAACCATAATAGTATTATGGTACTCTCACATAAATGTTTTACTAACTTGGTAATAATTGCTCTACGCGACCATTAGATGTTGTTTCCGTCAATATGCCTTCTTATTTTAATTTAAATAATTAATAATAAATTATTGAAAAAGATATCGGTAATCCATCGTTAATAACGACGAAACTTATTTGTCACTGAATTCGTCGTTTCTCTACTCATCAAGAAAAGGGACAGGATTAAAAGAACACAGCAAAGTGTGAATCAAGTCAAACGTACTTAAACATGAGTACAAAAACCCTAAAAATGGTAGACTCACTAATCCACTCGTGCTAATGTCAATCCTTGTGAAAGGATGTTTGTACATGGTGAAATAGAAAAGGGACTATAAAAGGAACATTATAGCATAGGACTAGAAAAAACTTTCGAATCGAGCGATTCTTCTTAAATTAAATACCAGAACGGGTATTTGAATCGAGAACTGATGAATTTGATTCGATTTTCGGTTCTAAATCAAGAAATGAAGAACCGAATTTCCCTAATATTTTTAATTAATTTATTTTAATAAAGCCAAATTATATTAATTTTTCTAAATAAATTTGCTTACTAGTTCATTTAGCTCAAACTCAAAAATATGATTTTCCTACTTCTAACTTTTAGTTCAAAGCCAACTTAATCAAATTAATCTAAATTTTATCCAAATATGTTATTCTATTCTACCATAGTGTCGTTTCTATTGTTCTAAAGAAATCAAATTGAAACTCGACAACGCTCTCCTAATTATTGTGAGCTCGCTATCTTCCTCTTTCTATAATTTTAACAATAAAATCTATATAACTCTGCAAAAAGAGACGCAAAAAATACATAAGATTAGATTACGTTATTTTGTAAGAACTAAAATTGAACATATCATTAGTTGAATTAATGTGGTTTTGTAAATATTAAAAATTTTAATTATAATACAGAACCTGGGAACCAAACCGAACCCGAACGGTTCCGTAATTAAATTTGGATCTGATGGTTTTACTTACTAAATACCCGAAAATTTTGGGTTCGATTTGATTCTCATTAGAATCGAATTGAACCATGTCCAACCCTATTATAGCACCTTGCAGATCAAATGGTCCAAACTGTAACGTTAACTAAAAATGGAAATAAACCCGTGAATGCTTCTGTTTAACAATCATTATTATCACAATTTTTTTTTATATATACTCATTTTAACCACACATTCATAGAATAAAATATTTTGCAAATAAATTCAAAACGTTTTCTACTTTTTAACTACACATTCTTTAAAAAATCACTATTCAAAAATTTATTTTCCCCTAAATAATGGTTGTCAAACAGGGGCTAAGCATGAAAGCCGTACAAAATGTACACACGAGTGTTTATTCTCCATATATATCACTCTTATACGGTTATACCTTAGAAGAATGATATCCGAAGTGTTAGTTGTCGTGCCAAAGATGGACAACTTCAACATCGTTTCAATAAAGTATGATTTTATGATTCTAGTCACCAACTTTTTGTAATTGCATGATCAATTCTCAATCACGAAAATCATCTAGATGTTTCTTTGAGTCATCAAGTTGTCCTCACTTCTAACTATATGAAATTAAAATTTACCATGTAGCAATTTAAAGATGAAAAATATTTTTTAATGAGAGACCGAGGACAAACTTAATACTTTTTTTGAAGGTTGAAGAATAATGTGCTTCGAGTAATGAGTTGAGGACTAACGATGTAATTTCTAATATTTGTCCTCATTCAAATATGTGCTAGATTCAAAATGCATTTTGTGTGTGGTTGGAACAGTTGAAAGGATTCTTCTACTTTTGATTGGAACATCATTTTCTGTACTTGCCTCTCTTATATAGTCAAAAGCTGTACAATGTCTAAAATAAAGAACAAGAAAACCCTATTTCAAAATCAAAATTAGGTTGGCATTCCTATTATATACATACCAATCCCTCCTACATGGTCTAGATAGGTTGCTAAAGTAGGATTCCTAGATCACACCTACCACTAAAATGCATATCAGATGATTTCAAAATTTGAACCAACTCTATCCCTCTCACCACCTCAACAAGACATTACTCAATAGGGTATAATGGTTTTAATCATTAATTTTCGAAATTGTAGACATAATTATTCGTAGGGTTTTC